AGGTTCCAGGCTACCGCCGTAAAGTGGAAACCGCCGTAAAGTGGAACACCCTTTTTTTCCACTTATAAATGCATACAAGCACTAGATAACAAGTTTACACTAACATATATTAAGTTAGCAATAGAACCAGGCATCAAAAAACAATAAAAAAGTACAATACACACATAGTGCACTCATTACTTACCTTAAAATATTTATAGTCTTAATCTAGGGTGAGACAAGTAGTATTTATTGTAAGAAATCAAGTGTGGTATGTATGGTAATAGCCAGGCTACCTTACCAGGCCACCCCACCCACACATACTATTCTATGATATTTAAGCATCCCAGAGCGATAAAATGTATATACAGTTCACTCATTACTTACCTTAAAATTTTGTAGTCTAATGTAGGGTCAGGAGTAAGTAAATGAGATAAAACGAATAAATGAGAGAGAGAAAGAATGAGTACATGAGAGGGGACAGGCGCAGAGTTATGTAAACAAACCAGGCGTTAGTTAGTTTAATATGTTTATTATGCACCCCATACCCATCCTGTGGGCGGTAGTCAAAAGATTACAGAGGTACATAATTGGTCCAGGGACTGGACTCCAAAGTTTTGATAGCTGAGCAAGTTACAGAGGTAATGAACTCACAATTTACAAAAGTAATGAACTCACAATTTACAAAGGTAATGAACTCCAGGTAAGTCTGGTCACAATCATGACAAGTTACAAAGGTATTTACAGATTACAGAGGTACGTAATGGGTCCAGGGACTGGGCCCCCAAAGTTTTGATAGCTGAACGTAAGTTTTGTAAACAAAGTGTACACGTCTGGTTTGTGTACAAGTTACATTGTGTACAGGTTGTCTCTACATTGATACGGTAGAATTAATAAAGAAGAACACTCCCATTCTCATGTAACATCATTTTGAGAAGAAATGAAGCTCTGAGTGAAGGCAATGGAAATAAGTCACACTGACTTTTTTGGGTTATCCTAGGTTCTCTACACGTATGTTGTTATGTATGATAATCTGTGTAACTGTATTTGTGTATACCTGAATAAACTTACTTACATACATACGAAAGGAATAATTTTCTACAGTTACCCCCAGTAACACATTTTCTCTTATGTTAGATTAGAGAAAATGTTATTCTTGCCCTCACTTGTACAAGTTATGTGACTCCCACATCTTATATTTATGTTTATTTATTCTATTGTGTGGTGTATTTATCATCTTTTTATGTTATGTATCGTGTTTATTATATAATTTTGAAAAAAAATATCATGGATGGATTAATGAAAATGTGTATATTAACGTAATATACGACATTTAATGAGACTCGGTGAGTATTGTTGTTATTATTATCATTTCTAATATGGCGTCACTTGTGCAAGTCGTCTGCTACCACATCTCACATTTATGTTTATTTATTCTACTGTGGGGTGTATTTATCTTATTTATATGTTATGCATCGTGGGTTTTTTATATAAATTTTGAAAAAAATATCATGGATGGATTAATGAAAATGTGTATATTACCGTAATATACGACATTTAATGAGACTCGGTGAGTATTGTTATTATTATTATTTCTAATATGGCGTCACTTGTGCAAGTCGTCTGCTACCACATCTCACCCTTTATGTTTATTTATTCTACTGTGGGGTGTATTTATCTTATTTAATATGTTATGCATCGTGTTTATTATATAATTTTGAAAAAATATTTATGGATGGATTAATGAAAATGTGTATATTAACGTAATATACGACATTTAAATGACTCGATGATTATTATTATCATTACTAATATGACGTTGGAGACATAAGACACTTACAATTTTAATGTGTACCTGCATGCAGCACAGTATGTAAGTTTATTTAGGTACAGGTATACATAAGTATAATTATCAGAGGTATATATTAAAATATGAAATAACTTTTAAAAACATTTGAAATTTTGGAGTTTCCAGACAAAATGGAGAGATTTAGTGCTTACTGAGCTCATGGAGAATGTAAACAAACAGGGTGGGGCACGGTGACCGTATTAGAAAGTCAGGTGGGGGGAGCCGTATAGCGAGTTTTGGTCATAATTTGAAATGTCCGTATTAGCGGAACGCCGTAAAGTGAAACGCCGTAAAGCGGGGCCTTCCTGTATATTGAAATTTGTGTGAAATTGGCCAAATTATCAATTTTTTATCACTTTATTGGGTCGTTGATTCGGCAATTTCTTGTGCTCAATTGATGAAATGGAAGACATACTAGTGAAATAGCTAAGAATTTGGTTGGCTGAAACATTGTAATTGGCCTAAAATAGGACTCAAAGTGGGCAAAAATTGCTGATGCGTAAATATTGCTGACACTAACAAAATTCACGAAAGTGTGATTGCATCAGTTTCCATTAAATTTTGTACCTTTTGTTTTATTACCTTAGGAAAAAGATTCTGTACCATTTCATAAGAAAAAAATGACAATTTTTTTTTATAAATTCTTTGACACTGTGGACAAGTTTCAGATTGGGGGCCTGGACAGTGAAAGGTTAAGAGCTTGGCTTTCTCTAAGGTTATAAAATGCAGAAATATTTTTCACTCCAGAAGAAGGCCGCACAGACCAACTAACTGACAGTACAAATCCCATAGATATTGAAAAAGAAATGGAAAACATGCCCACTCACTCAGCACCTGGACCAGATTCATGGAATGCTCTATTTATAAAGAAGTACAAAGTACCACTAGCACGAGCGGTCAGTATTCTTTGGAGAAAGAGCTTAGATCTAGGTGAAATACCAGAGGCCTTAAAGAGTGCAGACATAGCTCCTTTGCATAAGGGAGGTAGTAGAGCACTAGCTAAAAATTACAGACCAGTAGCCCTAACCTCTCACATCATAAAAATCTTTGAAAGAGTGATGAGATGAGACGGCAGAATACAAATTTCATGGACCAGCACAACCAATATAACCCGAACCAGCATGGTTTTAGAGCAGGACGATCATGTCTGTCACAGCTGCTGAACCATTATGACAGAATTACGGAGGCACTGGAAGACAACCAAAATGCAGATGTGATTTACACGTATTTTGCAAAGGCGTTTGACAAATGAGATCATGGAGTGATAGCGCACAAAATGAAGGCCATGGGCATTACGGGGAAGATAGGCAGATGGATTTTCGGTTACCTAACACACAGAACACAAAAAGTAGTAGTGAACAGGGCAAGATCCAGCATCAGCGAGGTCAAAAACTCAGTGCCCCAAGGCACTGTCCTGGCACCTCTGCTGTTTCTCATCTTCATAGCAGACATAGACAAAAACACTCAGCACACTTTTGTATCATCATTTGCAGATGACACTAAAATAAGCATGAAAGTCAGTATGATAGACGACACCGAAAAAGTGCAGGAAGACATAAACAGGGTTTTCCAGTGGGCAGTGGGGAACAACATGATGTTCAATGGTGATAAGTTCCAACTGCTTAGGTATGGAAAGAATGAAGAACTCAAAAGGAGCACTATATACAAAACCCAAGAGGGTCACCAAATAGAACGTAAGGAACACGTAAAAGACCTAGGAATAATTATGTCAGCGAACCTTTCTTTTAAAGACCATAACAAGACAAAGATCACAACAGCCAGGAAGATGACGGGGTGGGTATTAAGAACTTTCAAAACAAGGGAAATAATGCCAATGGTGACACTCTTCAAATCGCTAGTGCTCTCTCACTTAGAATATTGCTCAGTGCTGACTGCCCCATTCGGCACCTAAATTACTGGGAACGCCTGCAAGTCTTGAACATGTATTCATTGGAGTGGAGGAGAGAGAGGTACATGATAATATATACCTGGAAGGTATATAACAACACACTGGAGTGAGAGATATGGGAGGAAGTGTAAAATAAACCCAGTGAAGAGCAGGGGTGCGGTGGGGACAATAAGGGAACACTGTATCAACATCCGGGGTCCCAGACTATTCAACATCTTACCAGAAGACATCAGAAACACGGCTGGAACCAGTGTAGAAGCCTTCAAGAGGAAACTGGACAAGTATCTTTACTAGGTGCCAGATCAACCAAGCTGTGATGGATATGTGGGGGCAGCAGGCCTCAAACAGCAACAACCTGGTTGACCAGGCAAGCACCAGACGAGCCTGGCCCATGGCTGGGCTCAGAGAGTAGATAAACTCTCGAAACTCTTCAAAGGTATATCAAAGGTTTTGGGTACATGTTCTACATTTTTTTTTACAATGGTCTTGACAGCACACACATTATGGGCATAAAAAGTACATTATGTGACTTAACCTTGGATAACCTATTTCAGTCTAACATCTTCCTCAAGAGTGGATTATTCTGTAATGCTGTTTTTTTTTTTTTTTAACACGTCAGTCATCTCCCACTGAGCCAGGGTGACCCAAAAAGAAAGAAAATCCCCAAAAAGAAAATATTTTCATCATCATTCAACACTTTCACCTCACTCATACATAATCACTGTCTTTGCAGAGGCGCTCAGGTATGACAATTTAAAAGTCAACCTCCAAACTGCCAATATCCCAAATCCCTCCTTTAAAGTGCAGGCATTGTACTTCCTATTTCCAAGACTCGAGTACGGCTAACTGGTTTCCCTGAATCCCTTCACAAAATATTAACCCTGCTAAACCTGTGCATGTCATTCAGTATCTTTAACATGAAAAATATATTTTATCAATGTCTTAATAACTTGGGCACCCTCGTGTATCTGAAGGTTACTGGATGATGACTTCAGGGGTCATCATCCTTGTAGCCTGGTCCTGGGCAAGGCATACCTGTTGACAGGCTGATTTTACAAGTTTAATCAGCTTTTCTGTATTCTTTATATCATTATTTTTTTAAGCTGTTTTGATTATAGGAAAGGATTACACATAATGACAAATTCCTTACCAAGTTTACTTACCTTTAACTTTTGGAAAATATATAGATGCTCTGTAATTCTTTGAAAATTTAATATCTAAAGTTTTTATTTATTTGTCTTGCTCTTATCTTGTGTATTACAGGTTGGTATACCATTTCCAAGTATAAAGGATATTCAAGTTGATGCAAAACGTCAGTACAATAATGAACACTGCCGAACACGTGGCCTTCTGTCTGGTGGAGACTGGTATGAAATTCAAGCATATCGGTAGGTTTATTCATGCTATTATGTCGAAAAGAAACTTGATATGCAGAGAAGCATTAAACATTCTCAAAAATTTTTATTTGCCAGTACAGTGGACCCCCGCATAACGATCACCTCCGAATGCGACCAATTATGTAAGTGTATTTATGTAAGTGCGTTTGTACGTGTATGTTTGGGGGTCTGAAATGGACTAATCTACTTCACAATATTCCTTATGGGAACAAATTCGGTCAGTACTGGCACCTGAACATACTCCTGGAGTGAAAAAATATCGTTAACCGGGGGTCCACTGTACTAGTTATTTTTTTATTAACACATCGGCCGCCTCTGACCGAGGCAAGGTGACCAAAAAAAGAAGAAACACTTTTATTATCACTAATTCCATCACTCTCTTGCCAGAGGCATACCAGAACTAAGTTAAAAAACTGCAGCTTATCTCCACCCCTCCTTCAGAATGAGGCACTGTACTTCCCACCTCCAGGACTCGAGTTGGCTAACCACTTTTCCTGAGTGTTACCTTCATGAGTGTTACTGTGTTCGCACTCCAACAACACTTCAAGTCATGAAAACTTGTCTCCACTCCTATCTTAACACGCTCATGCATACTTGCACACAAACACTTTACCACCCCACCCCCCACACCTTTTATGGCACACTTATAAAAGCTCTCATAACCTTACATGAAAGCTGTATACACAGGATTTTTTTTGTGTGTCATCATGACCATTTTCCATTTTGAGAGAGGAATTTTTTGTCCCAAAAAATCCCTTGAACATTTTTCGCCATTTTCGGCCAGATTTCTAAAATTACTTAAAATCACACAAGGGGTATTATTTTCGATACTGATTCAGAATAAACACTAAAAATAACAAAAAATTAAGAGAAATGACTATTAGGAAAAATAACCAGAAATAACTAAACATTACCAAACAAAATCACTCCATTTGAATTATTTTTGATGCACTTGAAAAGACAAAAAGAGACCGTTCTAGCATGATACAAGGATGTTTTCTCTCGTCTGAGTCATCCTTGTCTGAGGTGCCTTTTACAGCACACTTGTCTTATAAAAACTCGTAACCTTCCATGAAAGGTGTATATACAGGATTTTTTCATATTTGTGAAGAGCAATTAATCCAACAATCAGTGTCATCATTATCATTTTCCATTTTGAGAGAAGTTTTTTCACCCCAAAAAATCTCTGGACTGTAGTTCAGCATTTTTTGCCATTTTCAGCCAGATTTTCAAAATTACTTAAAATCACACCAGGGGTAATATTTTCTATGCTGATTCAGAATATACGCTTGAAAATGTAAAATCCGATCATTTTAGCATCATACGATTCTCTCATTTCCCAGTAATACCTAAGAGAGGAAGCTAATATTTTCATTAAGACTTCTTTATGAAAAATAACTAAAAATTATGAAAAATAATGAAAAAGGCTAAGCAAAATAACTAAAAATTATGAAAAATAACATTACCAAAAAAAAATCACTCCATTTGATCTATTTTTTGACCGGATTTTCAAAATTACTTAAAAATCACACCAAAATAATTCTATTTTGTAAAATAGGCAGACCATGATATGCAATTTATATTGTAAATTTCATGCAATTTTTCAGAAGTCTTTAACAATTGAAAGTGGTTGAAATGCTAAGGTGAGAACTGTTGACAGTCATAGCAAATTTGAAGTGTATTACAAGATTATTTAAATTCCAGGAATAATTACCCATATTTAACTTCTAATGAACCTGGTTTTAGTGACATTCAAATCCTATTTGTATCTATACACAGATTGTTAAGTACAGTGGACTCCCACCTTACAATATTAATCCGTTCCTGAGAGCTCATCGTAAGCCGAAATTATCGTTAGCTGAATTAATTTTCCCCATAAGAAATAATGGAAATCAAATTAATCTGTTCCTGACACCCCAAAGTATGAAAAAAAAAAATTTTACCACATGAAATATTAATTTTAATACACACAAACTGAAGACATGCACAATTACTACTCTACTAAGAATAGAATACATGACACTAACCTTTATTGAAGATCTGGTGATGATTGATGGGATGGGAGGAGGGAAGAGTGTGGAAGTTATTGTTTAGAAGGGGAATCCCCTTCCATTAGGACTTGAGGTAGCAAGTCCTTTTCCGGGGTTACTTCCCTTCTTCTAATACCACTAGGACCAGCTTGAGAGTCACTGGACCTCTGTCGCACAACAAATCTGTCCATAGAGCTCTGTACCTCCCGTTCCTTTAAGACTTTCCTAAAATGGGCCATAACATTGTCATTGTATAGGTTGCCAACACGGCTTGCAGTAGCTGTGTCAGGGTGATTTTTATCCATAAAGGTTTGCAGCTCAACCCACTTTGCACACATTTCCTTAATCTTTGAAGTAGGCAACTTCCTCAGTTTCTCTCTCCCCTCCTCTGAAGCACTTTCCTCAGATCTGGCCTCTTGCTGTTGAGATGATCTTGCAGCTCATCAGTGGTTAGTTCTTCATTGTCCTCCTCCTCCACCAACTCTTCCACATCCTTCCCACTAACCTCCAACCCCAAGGACTTCCCCAATGCCACAATGGATTCCACAACTGGCATACACTTCTCAGGGTTAGCCCCAAACTCTTCAAAATCCCTTTCTTATACACATTGTGGCCACAGATTCTTTCAAGCAGAGTTCAAGGTCCTCTTAGTCACTCCCTCTCAAGCCTTACCTATAAGGTTTACACAACTGAGGATACTAAAGTGGTCTTTCCAAAACTCTCTTAGAGTCAGTCGAGTGTCTGAGGTCACTTCAAAGCACTTTTGAAACATAGCTTTTGTGTAGAGTTTTTTGAAGTTTGAAATGACCTGCTGGTCCATGGGCTGCAGGAGAGGAGTGGTATTAGGAGCCAAAAACTTGACCTTAATGAAGCTCATGTCCCCAGAAAGTCGCTCTGCTAAGTCTGAAGGATGACCAGGACCATTGTCTAATACCAGGAGGCACTTAAGGTCCAATTTCTTTTCCATTAGGTAATTTTTCACAGTGGAGGCAAATGCATGGTGTAACCAGTCATAGAAAAAGTCCTTAGTGACCCATGCTTTACTGTTTGCCCTCCACAGCACACACAAATTAGCCTTGAGGACATTGTTTTGCCTGAACGCTGTGGGAGTTTCAGAGTGATACACCAATAAAGGCTTCACTTTGCAATCACCACTAGCATTAGCACACATCAAAAGAGTAAGCCTGTCTTTCATAGGCTTATGTCCTGGGAGTGCCTTTTCCTCCTGAGTAATGTAGGTCCTGCTTGGCATTTTCTTCCAAAACAGGCCTGTTTCGTCGCAATTAAACACTTGTTCAGGTTTCAATTCTTCACTGTCTATGTACTTGAATTCCTTCACATATTTTTCAGCCGCTTTTTGGTCCAAACTGGCAGTCTCACCATGCCTTATCACACTACGTCTGCCACTACGATTCTTAAATCTCTCAAGCCAACCTTTGCTGGCCTTAAATTCACTCACAATCGTCATGCAGCTTCCTAGCCTTTTCACATATGATCGCTTGAGAGATGCTATCTCCTGCTATCTGTTTTTCGTTTATCCACACCAATAACAGTCTCTCAACATCTTCTATCACTTGCGATCTCTGTTTCGAAAACAAACTTGCACCTTTTGCAAGAACAGCTTCCTTGATTGCCGTTTTGTTGGCCAAGATAGTAGTGATGGTTGATTGGGGTTTGGTATACAACCTGGCCAGCTCCGAGACACGTGCTCCACTTTCGTACTTAGCAATTATCTCTTTCTTCATTTCCATAGTAATTTTCACCCTTTTTACCACAGGGTTGGCACTAGAAGCTTTCTTGGGGCCCATGGTGACTTATTTTGCAGTTACAAGCACTAAAAACACTGTGATAATATGAAATGTACCGAATGTGTGCTTAAATGCGACCTCACTGGCTGGCTTGTAAACACTGGCACCCACTGGGCAGCTGAGGCCACACGTGGGACACGTCCCGAACAAATCACGTAAGGCGAGTTTTTTATCGTGAGGCGAGGCAAAGTTTTGCGTTCAAATGCTTCATATGGCGGATTTAACGTAACGCGATGCGTTCGTAAGGCGGGGGTCCACTGTATATTTGTTTGCACTTGAGACATGTAGGTCATAATTAGTGTCTAGATAGATATGTGGCAATTTTGTTAAAAATGACAACAAAATCATTAGTAGATTAGACACTACATAATTGGTAAACTAATTATGGTATCTTAAGTTCAGTATATGTAATACAGTTCAGCCATCACTAATCCAGCAATCAGTAATCCGGCACTAATTTTGAGTAGCATAATTTCAAATTTCTTGGGTCGCCACACCAACCTGCTGCTTCTGTTTGGTGGTGCTCCTTGCTGCATAAGTTATTTCAATTTCTTTTTCTCCATTTATTGTTACAACCTGCTCACTTTTAGCCCTAGCTATGTTTCCAACGAATAAAAGAAATGCTTCTCATTGTGTGCCTACACCATACGTTGTCCAAAGAAGTTAAGGTGGCTTTTAAGCCACTGTCTGTTGCTGTGAGCTCTTGACTCTCGTGATGTGGGGGAATATGGCTTATTTACCTATCACAATTGATCTAATATGACATAATAAACAATATAAATAACATAAAAACATGGTAAATACTCCAGAATGGATAATGTTTGGCATAATACTGAGTCGTCCAGCAGAGGTATAAAGTTACCACTAGTAATAATAATACGTAATAGAGGATATGGGGCATGCGTGCGCGTGTTTGATAGGAGTGAATGGAGACAAATGGTTTTTAATACTTGACGTGCTGTTGGAGTGTGAGCAAAGTAACATTTATGAAGGGATTCAGGGAAACCGGCAGGCCGGACTTGAGTCCTGGAGATGGGAAGTACAGTGCCTGCACTCTGAAGGAGGGGTGTTAATGTTGCCGTTTAAAAACTGTAGTGTAAAGCACCCTTCTGGCAAGACAGTGATGGAGTGAATGATGGTGAAAGTTTTTCTTTTCTGGGCCACCCTGCCTTGGTGGGAATCGGCCAGTGTGTTAATAAATAAATATGGGATAAAAGTACCATCCTTCTATCCCTGTCTTGGGGGCTTATATTAAGAGAAAACGTAGTGTAGTGTAGTAGTGATATACACTCGTTTGTTGACTATCTCAGAAGTAAGTTATATACGTATTTCTATCTTAACAGCATTAATAACGAAAGGAATGCAATGAATTTCACAGACAACATAAAAGAACCCAATAAAAGGACTCCAATGGAAATAAGTCACTTTGACTTTTTTGAGTTATCCTAGGTTTTCTACACATATGCTGCTATGTATAATAAGCTATGTAACTGTTGTTTGTTGGGCTTAACACATCGGCCGATTCCCACCAAGGCAGGCTGGCCCAAAAAAGAAAAACTTTCATCATTATTCATTCCATCACTGTCTTGCCAGAGGCATGCTTACACTACAGTTATAAAACTGATATAAATGATTTTGATTGGTTTCACGATGAAAAGTACCTTGAAATTGAGCTCAAAGTAGTGGAAATGTTCAATTATTTGCTGATGTTCAAGAGCAAACAAATACGTACATGTCCAGCTGGCTGGTCTAATACTCAGTCACAAATGGGTTGACATTACAGTGGACCCCCGCATAACGATGGCATCACATAGCGATTTTTCCGCATACCGATTACTTTTATCGCAAAATTTTTGCCGCGCTACCGATTTTAAAAAAACCCGCTTACCGATTTTCGTCCGAGACGCGTCCAATGTGCCCTCAGCCAGCCTCACATGTGCCGGCCGTCCCATTGTTTACCAGCCAGCCTCCGCGGTAACATCCAAGCATACACTCGGAATATTTCGTATTATTACAGTGTTTTCGGTGCTGTTTCTGGAAAATAAGTGACCATGGGCCCCAAGAAAGCTTCTAGTGCCAACCCTGTGGTAAAAAGGGTGAGAATTAGTATGGAAATTAAGAAAGATTTTGAAGGGTTTGGGGCTAACCCTGAGAAGCCTATGCCAGTTGTGGAATCCATTGTGCCTACTTCAAAGATTAAGGAAATGTGTGCACAGTGGGTTGAACTGCAAACCTTTATAGATGAAAATCACCCTGACACAGCTGTTGCAAGCCGTGCTGGTGACTATTTCAATGACAATGTTGTGGCCCATTTTAGACAAATCGTAAAGGAACGGGAGGGTACAGAGCTCTATGGACAGATTTGTTGTGCGACAGAGGTCCAGTGACTCTCAAGCTGGTCCTAGTGGCATTAAAAGAAGAAGGGAAGTAACCCCGGAAAAGGACTTGCTACCTCAAGTCGTAATGGAAGGGGATTCCCCTTCTAAACAGTAAGAAGATAATGCTCTCCCCTCCTCCCATCCCATCAATCATCACCAGATCTTCAATAAAAGTAAGTGTCATTTAATTGTGCATGCCTTTTTCAGTTTGTGTGTATTAAAATTAACATTTCATGTGGTAAAAAAAAATTTTTTTCATACTTTTGGGCGTCTTGCACGGATTAATTTGATTTCCATTATTTCTTATGGGGAAAATTCATTCGCATAACGATTATTTCGCATAACGATGAGCCCTCTTGCACGGATTAAAATCGTTAACCGGGGGTCCACTGTATTTATACAATTATTACAATAATGCAGTAGTCTGTATAACAGTAAGTCTTCTATTTTTTGTGTAAATAAAAATTCCAAATGGTAAGCAAGAGTAATATAAGAGGGGCCTGGAGACTTGAGTAATGAACAGTGAAAATGTTATTTTAGTGCCAGGAATGTCTGCATTGTTTATTCTGGACCCTATTTTGAAATTGGCATCTTTTGAAAGTTGTATGAAATTGGGCAAATTGCCAATTTCTGACCACATTTTTGGGTAGTTGAAATAGGTGAATGGGCAGTTTCTCGTACTCAGTCGACAGAATAGAAGTAAGTTTATTTAGGTATACACATATACAGTACCCAAAAAAGTAAAAAATTACTTATTTCCATTGGGTTCCTTAAAGACCATCGTGTAGTCAATGGGTTTAAACTCATGATAAACCACCTGGCCATTTTGTATAACAAACCGGAAGCAAGTACCTTGAAATTGAGCTCAAAGTAGCAGAAATGTTCAATTCTTTGCTGATGTTCAAGAGTAAACAAATACATGTCCAGCTGGCTGGTCTAATACTCAGTCACGAATGGGTTGACATTATTTATACAATTATTACAATAATGCAGTAGTCTGCATAACAGTAAATCTTCTGTTTTTTGTGTGAATAAAAATTCCAAATGGTAAGCAAGAGTAATTGTGCAACAGTTGCATTGAGGAAAAGAGTAATTGTGCAACAGTTGCACTGAGGCAAAGATTCAGTGCAGCACTTGTATAAACCTTGCTGAATTTAAACAGCACTACAGGAGGAATACTAGCAAAATAGCTATTAGGTTGATAGACTGGAACAATGGAATGGGCCAAAAATAGGGTGTAAATTGGGTGAAGTCGCCAATGCGTAAATATCGCCATTGGGTTAAGTGTATTCTAACCTAACCACTGTAATCTGGCAGGGTCACTAATCCGGCACCCTACAGGTCCCAATGATGCTGGATTAGTGATGGCTGACCTGTACTATTGAGAGTTATTGATATTTAGCATCTAGCAGTGTTCTGAATATTCTTTCTGTTTCAGAGCAATTAATCAAGCACTGGGACGATGCATTCGGCATCGTTATGACTGGGGTGCACTCATATTGGTTGATGAAAGATACCAACAAGGCAGCTTAGCCAGTGGATTGCAACAAAACAGATATACTCGTGGATTGTCCAAGTGGGTGAGGAATAAGATAGTCCATCACCAGAATTTTTCATTTGCCCTATCTGATCTTCATAAATTTGCAGAGGGCATGATTAAGCAGCCCCCAAGGCAGCCAGAAAGGTTAGTAATTTATTATTTATTTTCTGAAGATAGAGCATGGTTTTTATTTGCATTATATAAAGACTAATATGGAGTGCATTTAATTTAATGAATAACAGTTATTTTCTCTTAATTATTTAAGAAATATAGTTTTTGGTTATTAATAATTTGTTGCTATATATTTGCAGCTTGGATGAAACCATGACTCAGTTGAAAGAGGTGGAGATAACAGAACCTCAAGCTACCTCATGTACCTCAGTGAATTGTTGCACACCCAAAAAGCATGACATACATGATAAATATTTAAAGCAAAGTCCCAATACTTCTAAATTCAGTTTACATCATGCAGACTCTCATTTAACTAATCAGACATCTGCCAGCTTTTCTCCTGGATCCAGGTTAGCCGAAGTTTTTAACTCAACTGTATGTAGTGATCAAGAAATTTGCCGTGTAAATTACTTGATTGATGATGAAGACATTATCATTCCGTCAGGAAGACTTCCTCTCACATCTACTCAGTTATCAAAATCAGGAGATGCAGATGCGGATGAGACACCCGGTACTAACAACATAAGCAGACATGGGAATAGTGCAAGTAGCTGTTTTGTTAGTGCCTTAACTCTTAGTAAGCAAAATTATGGAATAAACAATACTAGTATTCAGAAAATGGTAGAAACAAAATCAGAAAATATAAATCCACCATCCAAAAGAAAAAAATCTTATGTATTAGAACAACTTAAAGAATGTAAGAATAACAAAAAGAAAGACTTTGACAGTTTTGAAGTCCCAAAGCCATTTAATGATGATGGCTACATATTTCAATATATTGATACTAATGTTAAGTCTAATGTTTCACCTTTGAAACTGCTACTGGAGAATGAGATGAATGAAAAGAGTCCTTTGGGTTTTGGGGCATCAAATTTTGAGATACCAGAAAGTGAGAATAAAGAGAGCCAGTACCATTATTTAGAGATGTCTTCAGCAAAGAAAAGCTTATTTGCATCAAATCACATTAATGATAAAGTTGAAGATAAGTCAACAGTTAAATCTCAAGTAATTTGTTCCCCACAACTCTTTGATTCAGACGATGATCAACTTAATGAACAAACAAGTAAAGTGAAGACTAAGCCTTTCACTCAGATTGTGCATAACAGCTTAGGTTCTGTGGACAAGAAGTCTCCAGGAAACCTCAGGTGTAAATCAGATATACAGGAAGATGTTTTACAGGATGTCAACCTTACAGCCAGTGAACACACAGAGGAAAAAAGCGGTATGTATTAGGCAATGTCATTTTTTTTTTTCACATGTCCCAGGTGTACAAGGTGAAGATTTTTTTGTTTATTTTACTTACCCGGGCCGTAGATATTTTTGGTGTTTCGACCATTGGACAAATACAGTGGACCCTTGGTTATCAGCCATTCCGGATATTGGCCAATTCGGATTTCAGCTGCTTTGGATTTCAGCCGCTTTTTTTTTTTGGCTGATTCTATCCCTGATTTCGGCCGTCAGCTCGGAAATCAACCATACTAGACGTGTCCGCCCGCAACTCCATCGCATTCGTGAATCAGTCTGGCTGTGTGTCTCGGTGAGTCATCAACACTCCGCGCATTCATCCAAACATTTTGTTTAATCCATTGTTTTTTGTGGTTGTTTATTGAGTGTGACTGCAAAATAAGCCACCATGGACTCAAAGAAAGTTCCTAGTGCCAGCCCTTTTGTAAAGGGCTGAGAGAGATGGGAGAATGTGCTTTCTTCAGTGATTCTATGATGTGTATGATACTAAAGCAGCAGGAGTCGATAAAGGGTATAGCGGTAGCAAGGGATAAAGTGTAGCAAGTAAGTTAAGCGATAGAAAAAGGACGACACAAAACTCTTCCAATGTTGTTGGATGTGTATAGGGCCACTGACAACATATGCTGCCCTGCATATCTTCCACCACCCTAAACCTTTGCCAGCATCTCAAAAACCACTTTATTTCTTTACATTCTCCACAATAACCACTATTTCTTTACATTCCCTATGTTTTTATACAGTATTTCATATTTGTAAATTACGTATATTGTTTCAGTGTGACTAGTGGTGTTTCAATGTGACTAGTAGTATGACCACCACTATATGGCTTATGCTGTCAGTGGCCCTGATAAACCCAACAATAACACCACCACCACTAGCCACATACGTAATGACATATTTTATTCATTCTAGAGTATATATCAGGTTTCTGTTATTAATATTGTTTATTATGTCATATTAGATAAATTGTGATAGATAAATAAGCCATAGAGTTGACATTAGCACCAAAAAGAGTCTTCAGTAAAGGTAAAACTGATGTTAAATGTTCATTTATCCATTTCATTAGTCATTTTATTTAGTTCTCATTGTTTTGTGTATTTAAAACTATAGTTAATCTTTATAAAATGTACTTTTTGTTAGTATTTTTGGGTGTCTGAAACGGATTAATAGTATTTACATTAAATTCTTATGGGAAATATTATTTCGGTTTTTGGCCTTTTCGGATTTAGGCCAACCTTCTGGAACGGATTACGGCCGATAACCAAGGGTCCACTGTATATAAATTTGGTGTACTACTCTATTAAAATTTAAGTATCTCTTAAAAAATCTTGTAAAATTTCTATAGCTGATGTAAAACCCAAACGTTTTTGTTACAGCAGTACTCTACTCTCATATCTAGATGCATACATGTATTTGTTTTTATGATGCTTTTGGTTACTTCAGTCTCTACAAATTTAAACATAAGTGCATGGTGGTCACATTGTGGATAAAGGCTGACACACTAACAGGCAGTCATCAGTTTCTGATCACTTATCATATTGTAAATGAAATACTTTACATACAAGAGCTTTAGTAGAACATGCGTTTTCACGATAAGAAGTAGATAGAATTATGTATTTTAAATATAGTAACTTTTGAAACAAACAGGAGTTTGGGAACTTGTGACTGGTCATATGAATATTAAATGAATGGAATTGGTGACAGAAAGTTAAGAACTTGAGGCTTTTCATATATCGCATTAATTATAATTACCATTAGTTTTTATCTATATTGAATTGTTGTCATCAGTTTTTAATCTATATTGCATTATCATCATCAGTTTTATCCATATAATCTCTTCTTATTAATGTTTAAGTTGAAAAACTTTTACTATATATTTATGAAAAGAACTTAGTACTTTCTAAACATGTATATTTTTTCATAATTTTCAGGGTTATGGGAAACAAGAAAGAGGCCCTTGTATAACCAAAGCATATCTGATTTTGTAGCTTTAAGTAGTGTGGATGCAGATTCAGATTTGGAAGATTTCAATTTGAATAAGGTTAGTAAGTTTCACTTTTTTTGAATAATGTTATATTGTTTCAAGCACTGTCAGGTGCAGTTAACAGAAGTTATAGCTCATTTTTCCCAAACAGTTGATTAATAGGCATTCCTATTTTTTTTATGATTACGCTTGTGATTTGTAATATAATGTAGATATTTTTTATATTTTTCAGAGTTTCAGTTGGAGAGATCCAAGAAAATGCAGAGGTAAACAAAAATCAAAACCCAAAGGTGTCCATTTTACTGAATTTGCTGAGTAAATTTTTTAAGATTTTATGATTTACAGATATTCATACAGTATACACTATTTTTATATTGACATTTATATTTTTCAGCTGTACATATTTTTATAAATGTTAAGAGAACAGTATTTTCTGTCATGGTAAGGCTTGAGAAAAAAAAATATGAATGTTCTCTTTAAAGGCAAATTAAGCTACAGTATTTAAAATCTGTAACAAGAAAAAGTTAAAAATTAACATGAATTGCATTGCTGTATTTATAAAATGTATATATTAGTTCTTCCATAGTTTTATTACTAAGCTTAGGTTTTGAATTTTTAAATATAATAAAAATGAATATATCCTTATTGTGTACTCGCCTATTCATGGTTGCATGGGCCAAATATATAATCACCAGCATTATTAGTGTTAGCCTTAATGCTGGTAAAAGATTCTTGAATAAATTAAGAGCTACCCTAACCTTTTAATAGATAAAAAATTTATTTTTTCCCAATCCTAGGTACTGTATGGCTCCCCTACAGGCTTAGTGCTAAGATATATAAGAGAGCATAGTTTTTGACCTCTTGGGCCCCTGTTATCCTACTCTTGAAAATGTGTACAGCCCACCACTTCCTCACCTATTTAACACCTTGAAACTGTAATTATTGCTGGCTCCTCTGTTTTATTATATGGAAAATTTCTAAATCCATAGGGACTCTTACAGCAGCTGAAGAATGGGAGGTAATCATGTTTGATCCAAGGAAGGGGATTATTTCTTTCATGGAGAGTAAGGCTAAACCCAAAGGAGTCATACAGTGCCTCAGGAATGGGAAACGATCAAACTCAGTCCAAGAAAAGGGAAGCCAGGTTTAATTCCTTAGATCAAGAGTCCATTACTGGCATCAAGGCACCTTTCCCTGAAGGGATCCATGTTTTTAGCTTCCATTTATATGTGCCACCCCCCTCTCCCTCACTCATGCTGTACATTTCAGATAATCTGTCTCCTGTCTGTGTTGATCCACTGAGTATTTTGCATACGATCACATGTATTGGTCCTCTTTTCTAGGACTGTCAATTCAACTTTTGAACTAGTGTTGTTACAGGCCTCTGGACATTTACTTTCTGAACATTCTTTCTAAATGAGTGCTTTATGCTGATTACTTTTTTAGGGCTTTACAAGATATCTTGTAAAGCATCTGAGATTCTTTGTTAGGAACTTGAAGGTAGTTCCTAGATTAGCTAACCTTGTGTATGCTGCCAATATCATGCAGTTTTTTACATCTTTGATGAGTAAATGAAAATTTAACAACTGCTTTGACAAAAATATGAAACAAACAAAAATGAAATTGTTCAAAGCATCTTTCATTTTAAACACTTCTTTAGGAGCAATGCATGCAAAAGAGTGAAATCTCATTGAAGATACAGGTTTACATCCAGGAATGCAGTCTCTTCAATAAATATGTTTCAGTAATTCATAAAGCACACATTAATAGTGCATATTTTATCAGAACACTATTCACACTTCAATAATTATTACTATGTGGTTTTGACTGAACACACAGTAAAGTTCAAAAAAATATGGCTTAGGCATGCAAATGTTTATTCAGATACTTCTACTGCCTCAAGATTAATATGGTATATGGTGCCTTACGAGCTCAACATAACTGTCAGGTTATAAAACAACTCGTAGCGGTCTACTCTTCAGTAGTCACTTGACCATCTCCAAGTACAGTGGACTCCCGGTTTACGATCAGCTCCCAATGCGACCATTTATGTAAGTGCATTTGTATGTGTATGTTTGGGGGTCAAATGGACTAATCTAATTCACAATATTCCTTATGGGAACAAATTCGGTCAGTACTGGCACCTGAACATTCTTCTGGAATGAAATATCGTAAACTGGGGGGTCCACTGTGCTTCTGCATCAGCAAGCAAGAGAGGAAGGAATTTAGGTTAGGATAAAATTCTTCCTTATCACTATAAGTGAAATGTCTGAGGCATAGGTTGATAAAATGGCCAACAGCTGTCTGTTGCTCAGTTAAGCTACTTGGCCATCTGCAATCTCTTTTATATGAATTTAAGGTATGGTAAAAAAAAAATGCTGATTTCTTCCCTAACCCTTAAACTGTCCAAACGTAGATCTACATCCACGTGCAGGGGGCTCCGAACATCATAATTTTTTTTTTACATGCTTTCAAATGGGGAACAATCAAGGTTGGAGCACTACGCACGTGAACGTAGATCTGCGTTTGGACAGTTTAAGGATTAAAGGGATACTTATGCCACTATTTTTCAAATAAAATCTATGGGAATATCACTTTCAAAAGTATGTTACTTACCCATCAAACTTAACCACTTTCTGTAATTACAAAAATATACCATTTTTTTTTGTGATAATAAAATCTATGGAAATTCCATTCTAAGTATTTGTAAAATAGCCTATGGTGATGTCACTTTTTTTTTTTTTTTTTTTTTTCAAATATTGAACCTTAAAAAGTGGAATGAATTTTCCATAGATAAAGACATTCGTCACATTAAGAGTTAATTGGTTTCTTATGAAATGAAAAAGCTTTGTTTTTTAAAAGAATTTTATTTTAAAATTTTTAAATTTTCCTTTAAACATTTTTTCTTAAAGAAAATTAAAAGCAAAAATTTTTTTCAGAAAATTAAGAAAAAACCTTTGAATTTAAATTTCTTTTGGAAAAAAATTTAAATTTTTTTTTTTTAATAAATTGATCTCAAAAAAATTAAGACATTATTCTTTTCCTGTTTAAATAAAAAAAAACAATATAAAAAATTAATAATGATCTTGTGTACAATGTAATTAAAGCAGCATCAGTTTAACCCTTACTGTCTAAACATAGATTTATGTCCACGTGTAGGGGGCTCCGAACAGATCTTTTTTTTTACATGCTTTCAAATGGGGAAAATCAATAGCGGAGCGCTACGCACGCAAGCGTAGATCTACGTTTGGACAGTTTAAGGGTTAAAAAGATTAAATTACAACTCTAAGCACATATTATATTCATTTTTGCGATACTGCAAATGAAACATCAATGTGAACACTGATGTTTCATTCTGGAGCCTTTTACATTAAAAATTAACTACTATACAGTTATCTGCACATGGGTTAGCCATATGTACTCAATCTTCAAATAGAGAACCGTCTCAACAGTGAGGAACTGTATAACCCTAGTAGGTTTAGCACTTCTTTTTGATTATAATAATAAATCAACATTGAGAAAAGATCAGACACCAGTATACTTCCTCACACTATACAACTGCCAGTCTGCAGAGTCCACCAGGCTTACTATTTACAATAAAATCACTGATGCAGAGGTCTGCTATATTAAGTATTTTTTAAACTTTGGATTGAAACCCTTGTGTCACCCTTGTATTAAAAGCCTCTTTTGTCAACCTCAATGAAAAGGGTTGACAAAGGGTGAAAGAAATTAGAGCAGGTATGCTAAATTAGTTTCAGTTAAGTCATAAAAGGAAATGGCATTATTAGTCATAGGGAAGCACTAAACTATTGGGGTCATACAGCAACCAGGTAATGGTTTGGCAATTAAATTCAATAACAGGGAGAATGGGATCCAATTCCTTGGATTAAAACCTTACAGAGTAAGCACATCAGAGCTTCAGAGAGGTCAAAATGAAATATGCTCTCTAGTGAGATAAATATCCTTCTTAGAAAACATGACAGTCTTTGTATAACAGCTGAGAAAATAAAAGGAGTGGGTCAGATGGGGCTGTCAACCCCTGGTACTGGTGCTGTTGTTGTCTTGGTAGACAGTACCTGCAAGAATACAGACATGAGATGGTGCCAGTGCTGTCCTGGAGGACAATGCACCAGATGGAGATAGTGCCCCTGGTGACGTAACTAGTAAAAACAAAGTTAAACAAATTCCAGTGTTACAAAGTAGCAATGCTGCTGGAGATGGAATAAAAGGGGATGATGCTTCAGGGAATTGCGTTGATATATTACCAGAAAAAAAATGGTGGAGACACTGATGTTAGTACAGGGGCTGTAGATAATGGGGAGCCAAAAAAAAAATACACCAGTAGGGAATGCAGCCACAGAAAATTCTGGCAAACTGAAATCCATTCTATGCCTTGGGTATCTGCAGGCATGGAATATCTGGAAAAATAGTTGGGACGTGCAATTTTGATCATCCCAAAAATGCCGCACTCACATGACAACAGGAGAATGCAACTCGTCTTGCAATTTATTTCACCCGGAAATGTGTCACTCATCAGTCAATGAAAGACAATGCTACGTGTTGTCAGGCACACCATCTAAAGGGGACAAGAAGATACAGATCACCCAGGCCATAGGAAACAAACCAGGAGAGCCAAAACCACCCCAGAGATGGTTTTTAGTGGCTGTGGAGTGGAGGCCAGTGACTGTGTCTCCACTCCACTCCTTGAGTGGAGACACAGTCACTGGCCTCCACTCTAGAACAACAGATATTAGTGCCAGCAAACAAGCCCCCTACATACCATCAATATGGTGACATTTATCTTTGCAAATACATATACAGGGTCTAAAGCCATCAACAAAGTACATGTACCTTTCATCAATTGACTGCTCAGAGTCAAATGCAATGCTTGCAGCTTTCATGTAGACCCACATAAAGAATCACTTTGACAACAAACTATGGATCTCAGGTTATAATCTATTCAGATACAACAGAGTAAACAGGCAATGGGGGGGGGGGGGGGGGAGGGGTTGGCCTGTATGTCACAGAGTTGCTCATTTCCTCAGAACTACTAAACACCCCAAATGATGTACTTAGTTGAAATTTGGCAGTAAAGATCAACAACCAAAACCTTGTCATTGTGGTTGTATACAAGCCTCCAGATGCTACTTCCCAACAATTCCAGGAATAGATTCATAAAATTGATCACTGGAAAATCTCCCAACTCCTGCCCCAAACATTTTGCTGCTGGATTATTTCAACTTAAGACACCTAAAGTGGAGGAATGTAGCAAATGTTTTAGCAGAGTTAACCCTAGGAGGCAGCTCGGACGAAAATTCACATACACATGAGCTATTACGTCTCTGCAACAAATTCACCTTAAACCAGCAAATAATAGAGCCAACAAGACTGGAAAATGCACTGGACCTCATCTTCACCAACAATTATCTAATACGAAATGTAACAGTATCAAAGACACACTCAGATCACAACATAATAGAGGTACAGCTGGGAGATATCCTAAACACAGATCCAAACCTTTGCCTAGAATTAACTCTGTGGCACTCCCTATACAGGTGAAGGCAAAGAATCAGAGAGCTGTTGATAGGGGCCAGCATATCTGAAATACAGAGGAGGGTATTGGTTAGAGAAATAGCAAATATTGAACTTAAGCTTGAGGAATTGTACAGGAGATAAGAAACTCTAAGAACTTAAAGCCATCCATGAAACTGAAAAAAAAAATGTCTTTTCTTATGCCAGATCTAAGGCAAAAACAACATCAAGTATTGGATCCCTGCTTAGACATGATGGGACTTACACAGATGACAGCAAAGAAATAGTGAGATAATGAAGTACCAATTTGATTTGGCATTTAGCAAGCCATTAACCAGACTAAGAGTCAAAAATCTAAATGAATTTTTTATGACCGAAACTCAAAATATGGTCAATCCAAAAATCTCTGATAATATTCCAACACCACAAGACTCTGAAAAAGCAATACATGACATGCACATGCACGTGCCTTCAGCATTCTATGGAGAGGGAGCAGGGACACAGGTCATCCCACAGTCACTAAAAATAACAGACAGCCCCCCTCCACAAAGGTGGCAGTAAAGCAATTGCAAAGTATTATAGACTGATAGCACTAACATCCCATATCACAAAAATCTTTGGAAGTGTTCTAAAAAGCAAGAGCGCCACTCACCTAGATACTCATCAGTTACAGAACCCAGGACAACACAGGTTTCGAGCAGGCCACTCCTGCCTGTCCCAACTACTGGACCACTGACAAGGTCTTAGATGCACTGAAGGACAAACAAAATGCAGATGTAGTATACCCAGACTTTGTGAAAGCTTTCAATAAGTGCGACAGTGGTGTAATAGTGCACAAAATGCTTGATAAAGGAATAACAGGAAATGTTGGTAGATGGATCTATAACTTCTTTACAACAAGAACACAAAGAGTAATAGTAAACAGAGTAAAGTCTGAGGTAGCTACAGTGAAAAGCTCGGTTCCAAAAGGTATTGTACTTGCCCTCAACCTGTTCCTTATCCTCATACCTGACACAGAGATGTAACTCACAGCAATGTGTCTTCCTTTGCGGATGACACCCAAATTTACATGATGATGTCATCCATCAAAGACACTAAAAGACTCCAAGCTGACATCAACCAAATCTTTAATTAAATGGGCTGCGGAAAACAACATGAAGTTCAAAGAAGAGAAATTTCAATTACTCTGATGTGGAAAAACTCAAGGAAATTAAACCATATCAGAATATAAAACAAATTCCAACCACAAAGCAAAAAATTAATGTGAAAGACCTGGGAGTGATAATATCAGAAGATCTCACTTTCAAAGATCACAACAATGTTTCAATCACATCTGCTAAGAAAATGATAGGATGGATAATGAGAACCTTCAAAACTAGGGATACCAAGTCAATGATGGTTCTCTTCAAATTCCTTGTTCTCTCTAGGTTAGAATATTGCTGTATATTAGCAGCCCTTTCAAGGCAGGTGAAATTGCAGATCTGAAGAATGTACAGAGAACTTTCATGGCACACATATATACAATACAGCACCTAAATTACTGGGAACAATTGAAGACCTTGATTTGTATTCCCTGGAATACAGGTGAGAAAGATACGTACATGATAATACACACTTGGAAAATCCTAGAGGGACTAGTCCCAAATTTGCATATGAAAATCACTCCCTATAGAAGCAATAGACTGGGCAGGAGATGCAACATCCCCCCAGTGAAAAGTAGGGGTACCTAATAATGGCAATCAAGTCTCCGTCCCTGACTTTCGCTTGGCTGATTTCATAGGACTGAAAAATTACTTAGGTGGGCTGAACTGGAATGACCTGACTAGGGGTCAGGTAGGTGGTGATGGTTGCCGATATGATGCTTTCCAGGGCATAGTTCTAGCTGCTCAGTCAAATTATGTTCCAAATAGGGAAATCAGATCAAACAAAAATGATCCTAAATGGATGAACAATAGATTAAAATATCTGATTGGTCAAAAGAGAGGCATATATAGGCAAATCAAAAGAGGAGAGGGGCAATTAAGAAATCGATATATTCAGTTAAAGAGAGAAATAAAAAAGGGAATTAGAAAAGCAAATAGAGATTATGAGGTTAAAGTTGCAAGAGAATCGAAGACTAACCCAAAAGGATTCTTTCAGGTATACAGAAGTAAGATCAGGGACAAGATAGGCCCACTCAAAAGTTCCCCGGTCAGCTCACTGACAGTGATAAGGAAATGGTGTAGAATTTTAACACATACTTCCCTCTCAGTTTTTACACAGGAGGATACCAGCGTTTTTCCAGTAATGATAATTATGTAGAACAGGACGATAATAAACTGTGCACTATTGGGGTCACAAGTGACATGGTCCTTAGGCAAAATAAATTAAAACCTAACAAATCCCCAGGCCTGATGAACTGTATGCAAGGGTTCTAAAGGAATGTAAAGAGGAGCTTAGCACACTTTGCTTTAAACTTTTCAAACATATCACTAAATGGCATGGTGCCAGTAAGTGGAAAATGGCAAATGTGATACCTATTTCAAAACAGTTGACAGGTCCTTAGCTTCGAACTATAGACCAATAAGCCTAAACCTCCATAGTGGGAAAATTTTGGAATCAATATTGCCGAGGCAGTTCGTAGCCACCTTGAAAAGCATAAATTAATCAACGAATCTCGCATGGTTTTACAAAGGTGGCGTTCCTGCCTTACGAATTTATAACTTTTTCACTAAGGTAATTTGAGGAGGTAGATCATGGTAATGAATATGATATTGTGTAATGGACTTTCAGTAAGGCTTTTGACAGGTCCCACATCAGAGACTATTGAGGAAAATTAAAGCACATGAATAGGAGGAAAATTTTTCCTGGATAGAGGCATGGTTGACAATAGGCAGCAGAGAGTTTCATAAATGGGAGAAATCAGAGTGGGGAAGCGTCACGAGCGGTGTTCCACAGGGTCAGTGTTGGCCCCTGCTGTTCACAATCTAACATAAACGACATAGATGAGGCATAAAGAGCGACATCGCAAGTTTGCCGATGACACCAAAATAGCCGTCGAATTCATTGACGAGGACATTCAGCACTCCAGGAGATTTGAAAAGACTGAGCAGTGGTCGGAATGTGCAGATGCGTTTAAATAAAAGCAAGTTTAAAAAATTTGGAAGGGGAAAAAAATGAAAAAAAAAAATGGTCTTTTAAAAT